CGCCAGTCTCTATAACAGTTCTGCGGAGACCATTTTCTGCAGTAGAATCTGGAAATTGACGAGTTCCTATTATCCGTGTCGAAATTCAGTCAAAGCTTCCCATCATGCTATATCAAAGCCTGTTATCGTAAGGTGAAATAATACTTTTTATAAAGTCCACTTCAACCCTGATAGGGCGATTCCTCTTTTGCGTTGCTTTGTATAGTATCTTGGTGAACTTGATTCATTTAGCTCTCCTCACCCAAAGTTTGCATTCCTAACGTAAATTTGCATCTGTGACCTTTCAACAGTCAGTTTTTTCACAATCTTTGTCATCACCCATCAGCATACGTGATGCTGCGTTGTGTTTTCCACCGCTGACAGAAAAAAAAATCCCGTAAGTTGCTCTTATTCAGCAATCTTCCGAACAACACCACTGCTGCCGCAGTTTATTGCCATGGACTTGGCCTTTACGTGTCTCTTGTACACACAGTTTGAATTTACCTTTTGAAAACACTGGGGAAAATAGGGAAATGATAACAGACGCCAGCTAGCGCTACCTTACTTAATGACATTCCTTACAGACAGATTGACTCATTGGTGGACACGAGTAGATTGACGGCAGGGCAAGGAGCAGGCTTGACGGACAGCTCAATTATTGGCCGTTTCAAGAGCTAAATCTTTTGAGTGCCACGGCATCAACACTCAACAATGTAATCATCTTCAAGAGCCTTCAACTATGCAAGGCTGACGAAAAACAAGTCTGATTTACTGTCACTGTCATTGCTTATGATTCGACTCAGCTGCTTCTAAGGAACTAATTGTAATTATATACTTATATTGATCTTTTTGACGCGTAGGCCTATTTAGCATTTGGGGTATGTCATTTGGACTCTAGAAGTGCCGAACTTTGACCGCTGTCATCGCCCACTATACACATGTATACGCATGGGCGGCCAAAGTTTGGAGATTGAAATATCATTCTTTTTCTTGACTGGGGTCAAATTTTGCCTCCAAATATACATCTGCCCCATTATTTTCAAAGAAGGTCGTATTTCAGTTTAGTATATAGTCGTGGTTTGTATTATTTGGCATTTTGCAAGCAGCGTGAGTTTTTTTTTACAATTAGTGAATTTTTCTCTTGCTGTTTATTACTGACGGCCAGCCATACTTCTACCAGGCAAAATACTACTGTAAAGAGCAGGGAAAGGTAAAAGAAAAGTCATAATTCTAACAATGTCCCCCCCCCGAGTCTGTGCTCCTATGTACAAGACCTAGTTCATTTGTATGATGAACCTGAAAAATTGCCTACGCTCAAGTGCTCCTTCAGAAATTTCACTTTATAGTATCGTTGCTGGTTGAAGAGAAACAATGATGTGTTTATCTCTCAGGAAATTAGTACGGCATTAATAATGGTAGATTTAATTCAAACTTGTTAAGCCAGAGAGTGACGTTTAAAACTTAGCAGGGCTTATTAAAGATACAAGCATTACGCGCGCCAGAGGTATGGCTGAGACCATTTAGGCTAGGCAACTAACCAACCATAAGAAGTTACCTTAGCAAAGACACCGTATAGCGCTTGGGGACGTCATTAAGCCACCCCAATAAGTACGTTTCCTTGCAGCTTCACACAGAAAAAATCTCATATTTCCGTGGCAATGCCCCCCAGGTCGACTGGTTTGAAAACCTACGCCACAAGAGTTCAATATAATATAGCGTTCATCTGTGACTGCTCACCATGGTTTTCAAAAAGATTTCTTTAAAGCACGAATTGCTTTATAGGGCCTAAAACTCGTAGCGCAGGAAAAAAAATTGAATTCTGAGTTAAATAAAACGCAGTAAAGACCATTTTCTCAATGGAAAGCTATAAATTATAGGCCTATACACACATAAGAAATCAGATTTTTCATTGCCGAAAGGTGAAACTAGGCTATGTCAGCATCGGCTTCCGTTATGTCCACAAGAATCGAGTCAACATTTTATTACGTTTGCATGTTGGAACTTTTTGCCGGAGGCTGGCCTCTGTGCTAGGCTTTCTGCGTTCTAAACAAACCATCGGGAAGCTACTTTTTTACTTCATCGCGGACTTTCACGCAACGCAAATGACAGCCTAACGCCCGTCACCTCTGGAAGACTATTTCGTAATTCCAGCGATAACTGCCGCATATATGTTGTCTGTAAAGCAAAGCATAAGAACACTTGTGTGAAGCCCTGTACGCGTATTTACAAAACAAATAAAGTATAATACACATAGCAGACATAATAGCCTTCAGATCTCCACTTGAGAGCTTTGCTCCCCTAAGTTACCCCGTCACTCCGCCGCTCTGCTTGTGTATTTATCTTCGTCAGGATGCATTTAGTTCCCCGTGGTCACGCACACAAACATTCTATTCTACTTACTCACTGCTCACTTCCGAAAGATGTTAACATGGCTTATTCTGATCAGAACCTAGAGGGACAAGTTTGGTCTCTTTCGACGGAACCCTGCACGTGCGCAAGTGTTAAAAGATGCCGTGGGCCCTCTGCAGCCTGAGCAGTCTCAAAACCAAGGCTGGGGAAAACGTTTTTAGGCACAGATTTAAGCGAACAAACTGCCCGGCATGTTTGGGGAGTAGGTGGCAAACGCAGGAGGCACCAAAATAGCAATCGTGTCAGACGAAGAGCGCGATCTTTAAGCCTTGAAGTCAGAGAGTGACAAGGGGAATAAAAAGGACTTTCTAACTTATAGCTTCCAATAAGTTTCAGGGACTTAGAGCAGAAAAAGAGTGAGTGCACGTGCCTTTAAAGATGAACGGTTCATTATCGTCAACGAAATTGAATACCCTCACGTCCGCTTACATCTAGTGCGGATGTATGTAAAATGATGCTAACACAAGTTTTTTTATTCTGCAGTTGCCCTGAGGAGACGTTTCCCTAAACTGGCTTTACCGGGAGACTGGATAGAGTATGGAATTCCATATCTGCCGTCGTGCGTCGCGCG